CAAAGTGCCCGCGGGCCTCACAAACATGACTCCAGACTTTGCTCCAACGTGTACTTTGTATAGCTTTTTGAGAGGGATGGTGGGGGAGGGCGCGTTTGGTTTTCCTGCGCGTGCTCCGAATTTGGAGGCAGAGTGTGTGTCGCATTGTTGCCGGAAAGGGCACGAGCCCAGGGTTTTCTTATTGTAAGTCAATCTGTCCCCCGGTGCGAAGTTCGAATAGGGCCAGCGAGTTATTTTGCGATAAACCACGAGGTCGAAGAGGGCCGGCTAATTTAAATGTGAGGATGTCCCGAGCGAAACGCTTGTTTTGCAGAATGTTGTTGAGGATGTCTCGAGCGAAACGCTTGTTTTGTGTTCTAGATTCTCCGTCTCCTCGGGACTAGAATTCAGAGGATCTCTTAAGTGAAATGCTTGTTTTCACGTGCCCAGGTCTTGAGGATGGCTCGAGCGAGACGCTTGGTTTTACGCGTCCAGGTTGCCCAGGCAGATGTCTAGCATGAGGATTTGTTGAGGCTGTCTCGAGCGAGACGCTTGTTTGCACGTGTCCAGGTTGCCCAGGCGGATGTTTAGCATGAGGATGTGACGAGAATGTCTTGAGCGAAACGCTTATTTTCACGTGTCCAGGTCGCCCAGGCACAGTACAGCCTTCGGCACGGTAATCGAGATCGATACATTCAGCATTGCAACCTGGCGCTTCCTTTCTCGTCAAGGGACGCGCCAGGTTGCAATGCCCCGTGGCACGTCGCGCGGCGCGTCCCCGTGGCGAGTCCCCCTGGCACGTCGCGCGGCGCGTCCATCCCGCGGCACATCCATTGGCACGTTCCGTAGCGTGTCCCCTTGGCACGTCCCGCGGTGCGTCCCCATGGCGCGTCCCCTGGCACGTCGCCTGGCGCGTCCCTTGGGACGTTCCGCGTCGCGTCCTCCTGGCATGTCCACCTGTCAATTAGCTCTGGGGCAGCTACTTTGTGCTCAGGCAGCTCGAGCTTAAGATCCAGATCAGTTCGGTCAGGACTCGGATGCAAATGAGGACTCGATCCACAACGCTATACAATGGGGGCGCGCATAAAGAAACCATCTACTTTTCGTCAGGGTATCCTGGGTTTCTTTGCTCCGCGCGCTGAGCGTTGACTTCCCGCGGCCGTTGAAAGAGCTGCTGCGTTCAGGGTGCTCCAGGTTTCCCCTCAGGTGCACCTCGCGCACGGCTTCTCAGGGTTGGGTTTCTTGCGAGGGTTTCTTGCGGCCGCGCCCGCACTGTAGTGCACAATCGCGGCATGGCACATCGCAACTCAGCACGGCGCAGCACAGCACAGCCCTCGGCACAGTACATCAAGATCGATACATTCAGCATTGCATTTGCCCGTCGCCCAATCAGGTGTTTTTCCCCAAACAGCTTGCTGAACGGGGTGCTGTTGTGGTAGAAACTAACTCCGGCCGAGGGAACGCGGAGCAGAGACATCCTCACACAAATTTTATGGTTTTGGCCGTTTCGCTTGAGACATCCTCACAACTCTCGTTTCTGAGTTGGCCGGGATTGACCGTTTCGCCCGAGACATCCTCGAAAAGTTGCGCTCCGGGACGCCGCGCGAGAGGTGGTCCGGGCCGTTTCGCTTGAGACATCCTCGAAATTCTGAGCCCCGAGGTGCCGTGCGAGAGATGGTCCGGGCCGTTTCGCCTGAGACATCCTCGAAACTCTGAGCTCTGCGATGCCTTGCGCGAGGTGGTCAGGCCCGTTTCGCCTGAGACATCCTCGAAACTCTGACTTCGGAGATGCCGCGCGAGAGGTGGTCCGGCCCGTTTCGCCTGAGACATCCTCGAGCTTCTGAGCTCTAAGATGCCCTGCGCGAGGTGGTCCGGCCCGTCTCGCCTGAGACATCCTTGCAACTCTGAGCTCTGAGATGCCGTGCGCAAGGTGGTCCGGCTTGTTTCGCACAAGACATTCTCGCAACTCTGAGCTCTCAGATGCTGCGCGAGAGGTGGTCCAGCCTGGGCGCCCAGAAGACCACATGTTACATATCCTCCATGGGACCCTGCGAGCCTCAGGAGGCCCCAGAGAGGTCCAGGAGGCCGCAGGACGCCCAGGACAGGGCCCAGGGGCCCCCAGGAGATTCCCAGGAGGCTCCCAGGAGGCCCCAGGAGGCCCTCTATCAGAACGTGTCAAGTTAATACACATCCGGTGTCGATTCGTTGATTTTTCCTGCTCTTCTGCCCCCCCCTCCATTTTGAGGGGCCCAAGCGGCCACAGGTTAGATATCCCCCCTGGGAGCCCCAAGAGGCTTCAGGAAACCTCAGGTGGAGTTCAGGAGGCCACAGGAGGCCCAGGAGGAAGCTCCAGGAGGTCCCCAGGAGGCCCCAGGAGGCACCAGGAGGCCGCAGGACGCCCAGGACAGGCCCCAGGGGTCTCCAGGAGATTCCCAGGAGGCTCCCAGGAGGCCCCAGGAGGCCGCCTATCAGAACGTGTCAAGTTAATACACATCCGGTGTCGATTCGTTGATTTTTCCTGCTCTTGTGCCCCCCCCCTCCATTTGGAGAGGCCCAAACGGCCACAGGTTAGATATCCCCCCTGGGAGCCCCAAGAGGCTTCAGGAAACCCCAGGTGGAGTTCACGAGGCCACAGGAGGCCCAGGAGGAAGCTCCCCCCAGGAGGCCCCAGGAGGCCCAGGAGGCCCCCGCAACTCGGAGCTCTGAGACGCCGCGCTCGAGGTGGTCCGGCCCGTTTCGCCTGAGACTTCCTCGCACCACGTTTCGCCAGAGACATCGTCGCAACTCTGGGGTCCGAGATGCCGCGCGCGAGGTGGTCCAGCCCGTTACGCTGGAGACATCCTCGCAACTCTAGGCTCCGAGATGCCGTTCGGGATGAAGAGGAGGTGGAGGAGGAGGAGGAGGAGGAGGAGGAGATGGAAGGGAGGAGGAGGCGGATGATGTGCATGAGGGAGCAGGCAGGAGGAGGGGGAGGCCCCAGAGAGCTCCAGGAGGCCGCAGGACGCCCAAGACAGGCCCCAGGGGTCCCCAGGAGATTCCTAGGAGGCTCCCAGGAGGCCCCAGGAGGCCGCCTATCAGAACGTGTCAAGTTAATACACATCCAGTGTCGATTCGTTGATTCTTCCTGCTCTTGTGCCCCCCCCTCCATTTGGAGAGGCCCAAACGGCCACAGGTTTGATATCCACCCTGGGAGCCCCAAGAGGCTTCAGGAAACCCCAGGTGGAGTTCAGGAGGCCACAGGAGGCCCAGGAGGAAGCCCCAGGAGGTCCCCAGGAGGCCCCAGGAAGCACCAGGAGGCCCCCGCAACTCGGAGCTCTGAGACGCCGCGCTCGAGGTGGTCCGGCCCGTTTCGCCTGAGATTTCCTTGCAGCACGTTTGCCCGAGAAATCGTCGCAACTCTGGGGTCCGAGATGCCGCGCGCGAGGTGGTCCAGCCCGTTACGCTGGAGACATCCTCGCAACTCTAGGCTCCGAGATGCCGTTCGGGATGAAGAGGAGGTCGAGGAGGAGGAGGAGGAGGAGGAGGAGGAGAAGGAGAAGGAGATGGAAGGGAGAAGGAGGAGGCGGATGATGTGCATGAGGGAGCAAGCAGGAGGAGGGGGAGGAGGAGGAGGAGGAGGAGGAGGAGGGAGAAGGAAGGGAGTTGCAGGAGAGGACCTAACGGGAAGCGAGTGCGATGTGGACTTGTCAAAACGTGTGCGAAAGATTGTCCGGCCCGTTTCGTTTGAGACATCCTTCCAATACTGAGCTCCAAGATGTCGCTCGCGAGGTGGTCCAGCCCGTTTCGATTGAGCCATCCTCGCAATGCGAGGCTCGAAGATGTTGCGCGCGAGATGGTCTGGCCCATTCTGCCTGAGACGTTTCGTAGCACAGGAGCTCCAATCACAACCTCTCTCATTCCTTCTCCCGCCTCCCTCTTCCCACTTCCCGCCTGGTTCCTCTTCCCTCCTCCCTCCTCCCGCCTCCCGCCTCCCGCTGCTGCGCCTCTGCCTCCGCCTCCCCGTCCCCGCCGTCGTCGTTTCTGCCGCCTCAGCATCCGTCATGCGCGCACTGCCTTCCGCCCTCCCCAGACATCCGACGTCACGATTTTTCCCCAAACAGCTTGCTGAACGGGGTGCTGTTGTGATAGAAACTAACTTCGGCCGAGGGAAGGCGGAGCAGAGACATCCTCATACAAATTTATTCCCCCCAAACTCCGTTAACTGTCAAGAGGGAAGGAGGGCCCTGTTTGGGCGACGACCGCGAGCACAGCCGCGAGCACAGCCGCAGGCATTCCGCCCCGGAGCCCTCCGACTGACGGGGGGGGGCTCCAGGGTGCGGCTCCTTGCAAATAGTTGTGGGGTGGGAGGTGGAAAAGCACAGCTCGAAGCACAGACGGCTGCGGAAGAGGGGAAAGGGAAAGAAGGGGAGGGAGCCAGAGCACTACGGCCTAGGGGGGAATAAAACCGTTTAGGCATAGCCAAACGAGACCATATTCCCCCCAAACTCCGTTAACTGTCAAGAGGGAAGGAGGGCCCTGTTTTGGCGACGACCGCGAGCACAGCCGCAGGCATTCCGCCCACGCCCGTCCCGGGCCCCACCCTCCGGTAAAAGTCCAACCAGGCGCCGCGCGCCAGGGCGCGCGGGAAAACGCGTGCGGGGAAGCAGGGGCGCCACCGCCGACCCTCCGGTGGGCAAACTGCTCACAGGCAGGGGGCGGGGCCCCACGAGTCGATTAAACAAATGACCGCGGGCCAGCTCCACCGCCGAGCTCCACCTAGGGGGAGCTCCACTCCAGGCGCACTGGGGCATGTCCGCGCAGTGCGCCGCGAGGGGCGGGGAGGGGAGAGTGACCGGGGCCGCGCGGGGGCCACCCTGCCCGCATCCTGTACAGCCGCTTAACACGTTCATGACTCGGCGGCTGGCGTGCGTGCAGGGGGCCCCAAAAACGCGGAGCCACCCCTCCAGAGGGAGGAGGGTCCGTGGTGAATTAAAGGAGAGGGCCACCCGCCTCCCGGACGCCCGCACAAGGCCGGGTCCGGCTCAGTCCGTCTCCTCCAGCTGCAGTATCGCCTCCGCCGGGGGCTCCGGGGTCGCCTCCCGTGCACGGCTGGTAGGGGTCCCCCCCTTGTCCGGTGCGGCGGTCTCCCCAGCCTCGCGGGGGGAACGGGGTATCCCGCCCTGGGCTGGTCTCGGGGCTTCTGCCTCCGGCCGGGTCACTTCCAGGCTCCTCCGCATGGCTGCCTCCCTCGTCTCCTGCAACTTCTCCATGACCTCGGGGATCCTGTACTCCCTCCTGGTGGACGGGTTGGTATTGGTCTGAACACCTACCCCGAACGTGTCCTTCAGGTACTCCGCCGCGATCCGCCCGTTGGTCGGGCCCAGTCCCGCCTGGGCCATGCGGCTGAAGTCCTCCAGGTGGAACAGGCGCTCTCCACCGGGGGGGGGGGAGGCCCCCGCCCTCTGCTCGTCGACGAGGATCTCCACCAGGACCTGCAGGACGTGGCGGAAGCCGCCACCCCTCGGGGCTTGCCGCCACGCGTCCGACCAGAATAGCTCCCGGGTCTCGAAGGTGCCATCCTCCTCGTGGCCCCTCTCCGACCAGAGGCTCTGGCGCGGCTGGAAGCGCCTTCCTCCACCCGGGGCCGGAGGGCTTCCTCCCCCCGGCACGCTGCGCCCGAGGCGCTCCCCGTCCGCGTCACCGGCCGGGCCGTCGGGTGACTCTTCCGCTTCCCTCGCGGCCTTCTCCTTCTCAGAGGCCTCCAGGGCGATCTGGAGCTGGAGCTCCTCCACCGTGCCGGAGGCGGGTTCCTCCGGAGCCTGCGGCGGGGCCTGCTCCTCGGCGGGCGCCGCCGGCTCCGTCTCCCGGGGTCCCTGCTCCTCGGCCGGGGGTGCCGGCTCGGGCTCCGGGGGCCCTTCCTCCGGCAGCTGGAATTGCGGGTGCCTGGACTGGGCGCCCTCCGGGGGCTCGGGTGATTCGGCCGGTCCATCCAGCCTGGACCCGTCCTCCGCCGCACCCTGAGCCGGGCTGGCAGCCCCGACAGGGTCGGCCTCGCCCTTCTGGTCCGCTCCCCCTCCCGGCTCCGCGCCCCCGCCTCCCCGCCCCTCCTCAGCGGGTGCGTCCTGAGGCGGCTCCGCGCCCTGATCTGGGAGGGGTCTCCCGCCCCCGCTCTCCGCGTCAGCGGGGTGCCCCCCCGCGGCCCCGTCCGCCTCCCCGCCGGCGACGGGCTCCGCGGTCTTCCGAAGCGGCGGGGGGGAGAGGCGTCCCGCTCGGAGGTTTTGCTCGTCCCGGTGCGCCCTGAGGTGCTGGGGGACTGGGCCCTGGACCAGGTGCATCAGCCTGTAGACCTCCCGCGCCTCCACGAAGAACAGCAGCATGTGCTTCGGGTGGTAGTAGACCGTCTCCGTACCTCCCTCCTCCAAGCGGAGCGGGAGGGTGCGGTGGGTGTCCAGGCTCCGCGGGCACCCATCAAACTGGATCCACTCATCCCCCCCGACCCGAATGGTGGAGTCCAGCCATGCCGCCAGCTCCGGGGGAAAGTGGCCTATCTCCTGCAGGACCTCGGGCTTCCACAGCTCCACCCAGCTTGTGGGGATGGGCGCCCTGATAGTGTAGCCGCCCGTCGGCAGCATGGGGGTGCACACCCAGTCCGCCGCCATCCCTTCCGGGATCCAGCTGGCCACCCAGTCGTAAGGGTCCTCGTCGGGGTCCTCCTCATCCGCTCCTCCTGCGCTCCCGCCCGACTCCCCCGACTCGTCCTGGGCTTCTCCCTGCGCCGGTCCGGCGGGGCCGGGGACAACCGGCGCGCTCCCGAGGCCTGCGGGTGCTGGGGGTGGCTCCTCCGGGGGAGGCTCTTCCGCCTCCCGCGCGGGGTCGGGGTCCCCCTCCGCCCGTCGCTGCACCGGGACCACCTCGGGTCCCAGGGCCGCACGGAGGGCCCCCTCATGATCTCCCTCCTCGAGTAGCTTCTTCGCGGCCTCGGGCCTGTGGGTGAGCTCCAGGGGCCCGACCCCGGAGGCGAACGCGAGGGCGCGCCGCGACTCCGTCAGGAACGCCAGGTGAACCTCGGAGTACGACTCCTCCAGGGAGGCCACGAGGTCTTCGTGCGTGCAGCCCCGGGCGTCCCGGTCACCGGGCGTGTCGAGGACGCCCAAGAGGGTGATGAGGCGCTCCCGGAGGAGCCGGTGACGCTCCTCGGCGTGCTGGGGGCCCGCTATCCTCTGGAGCGTGATCCGGAGGCTGGGCCGGGCGACGAATGGGTCGGCGCCTGCCGCTCCCCCCGCCGTCCCGGATGCGGGTGCGGCGCCCGCCGCCCCCTCCGGCGGGGGCTCCGGCTGGGCACGCGCCCGGGCTCGCTCCACTTCCTCCGCCTGCTCCAGGGCCATCCGGATCATGCGCTGGTCGCTGGCGACGGGGAAGCGCAGCCTCCGGAGGTCGTCTACCGACACCAGGACGTACTCCCTGCCCGGCGTGTCCCTCCACTGCCGCAGGTTCCCTTGTACCGAATGGTAGTGGTAGTAGTATGCTCTGTCCTGGGTGGAGTGGAGCCGCCGGGCGTAGGGGTAAGCAGCCCCAGGGGTCTCCTCCGCGGGTGCTGGGGCATTCCCAGGCGTGGGGGACGGTGTTGCAGTTCGTGGACGGGGCGAGGGCGACCCCGAGCTGCTCGTCCAGGGCCCTCCAAGCGGTAACCACGGCCGACGTCTCCCCGCACCGCTCGCTCCCGTGCACCAGGGAGTGGGACCCATCCGAGCGGCGTTCCACCAGGGCCAAGACCGAGGAAGGTGGGCCCCGCATGGTCGCGATCACGCACGCGGTCCGAGGTGGAGGGGGCTCCGCCGGGGGCGGGGGGGCGCCTTGGGCCCCGGCGCCCGCTGCGGGCGCCGTGCCTGCCCGGCGCGGGCGCCCCGGCTGCCGGGAACGCTGGGGCGGCCTTGTGCGGCACAGCTGAGCCCCCCGCGCCCTGGGCTGGCGCGCCACCCCCTGCTGTCGCCCCGTGGCCCCCCTCCTTTGGGGGTGGGGGTCCCGCCGGTGGGGGGACACCCCCGGGCCCGCTGGGTGCCCCTCTCCCCGGAGCACCTGTTGCCGGGCCTCCCTCCGACTCCCTCCCCCTTTCCTCCCCCGCCGGGGGCCTGGGATGGTGGGGGAGGCCTGTAGCGCACGCTGCAGTCTGGCACCGTCGTGCGCGCATCCGCTTCCGGGGGCCCCTCTCCGCGCGGCGGCGGCGGGGGGAGGTAGATCCGCGCGATGTGGGCGTAGGGCTTGACGTCCAGGTCGTAGTAGTCGGGGTTGTCGTTCCGCGCTCCCTGCACGACCCCGTTTACGTAGGTGTCGTAGGTCGAGCTGTGGTAGATCACCCGCGCGCCTGGCAGCAGGTCGATGTGGCGGGCCCTCGGGCCCAGCCCCCTCCTGCTCTCCCCCTCCCAGGCGGGTACGGGTCTCTCCGGAGGCCTCGGCTTCGGGCTCCCGCCTTTGGGCGGGGGGGCGGGGCGTCCTGGGCGGCCATCCCCTAGGGCCGCTCCCCAGCCTTCCGCTGGCTCCTCGGTCAGGCGCGCCCGTGCCGGGCCTCCTCCCTCTTGAGGGGGGCCGTCCGTGCTGGACCTCGCCCCGGAAGGGGCTCCCCCCGAGGGTCGGGGGCGTTCGGGCGGGGGCTCCTGGGCCTGGCCCTCCCCGCTCCGCCCGGGGTCCGCGGTCCCTGCCCCGGAGGTCTGGGGGGCCCCCCACGCGGTGGGCCCCCTCCGGGGGGGGGCGACACGCGCCAAGTAATCACTATAGGCCGCCTGGTGGATCTCCTCCACCACCTCCTCCCGCTTCTGGTTGATTAGGCCCGTGTAGTACTTGGCGAAGTTGTCGTGCCGGGTCATCCCGGGGTCGGAGGGGTGCTAGTCGCGCAGTACCCTCCGGGCCACCTCCGCGGGCTGCCGGTACAGGTAATGCTTCGACCTGGGGTCCGGTGGGTAGTCCGCGATGTGGTCCCGCACCTGGGTGTGGAGATCCTCCCACTCCTCGTTGTCCAGCTGGCCCGCCAGGGACCCGTACTGTAATCCTCCACCTGGGACAGGAAGGCGCGGGCAACGCCCGGGGCCCGGTCGGGGTCGAAGTCGCTGCACCCGCACCTCCGCACGAAGTCGTGCCAGAACTTGGAGTGCCACTCCCCGCCCCTCTGGAAGTTGCGGATCGCCCACCCCTCCGTCGTCCTGGCTTGGGACCTCTCCACCCCCCGGACGACCAGGGTCGGCCCCCCACGAGTGTGGGTCCGGGGGTCGCCGACCACGTCCTCCGCGTCCGCATCAGGGGGCGGTCCCTCATCCTGAAGGATCAGCCTGAGCATGAGGGCGGCCTCCTCCGGTCGGCCCATAGCCACCAGGTCCCTATGCATCTGCGCCACGGCCTCCTGATGCAGGGGGTTCATAGCGCGCGCGGGAGGGGCCCCCGCCACCTCGGTCGCGCCTCCTGCGGGGGCGATCCCCTTCCCGAGGGGGCTCCGCCCTCGGGGAAGGGGTAGAGGGTCAGGCTCTCCGTGGTCGGGTCCCGCCAGGCCTTCCACTGTCCGGGGCGAGCAGGCAGGCCCCCTGAGGGGGCAGGCAGGGTCGCCGTGTAGCAGACGTGGCCTGCCGCGTTTTGGACGATCGGCAGCCCCCGGGCGCCAAGCTCCCAGAGGTCGATAACCCCCTGCGAGTGGAGAATGTCCACCCCGAGGTACTGCTGGTCTGGGACCCCCAGGGTCAGGTCCATGTCCCGGAGGTCGGCACCGAGCAGCTCCGCGAACGGATGGTGTACTCCCTCCCGTTCGCCGCCAGGCGGAAGTTCCAGACCCAGCGCGCTTGGGCGCTGCCCTGCCCGAGTCCCGGGAACAGGTGGGGCTCCTCGTCCACCCGGAGGTCGAGTCCGAGGGTGCGGGCGACCCGCAGGTACTTGACCCGGAAGTCGGACCCATGGAACGTCATGCCTCCGTTGGCGGTGTCGACCGCGACCAAGAGCTGCGGGTTGGTGTCCGGCTCCAGGCGGGGCGCGAGGAGCGCCTCGGAGGCTCCCTCCACCGTCCATCCTGAGGCCTCCTGCCCGACCGGGATGAAGTCCGCCGGGTCGTCCTCCGTCTCCTCCCCCCTTGGGGTCAGAGGGACTGGCTCCCCTCCAAAGGGGGTCCCCGAGGCAGACTCCTCCCGCAGCCAATCCCGAAACTTGTGCAGCGCATGGAGGCGGGGTTCCTGCTGGCGGCGGCGGAACTGGCGACGCCGCTCGGGGTACTCCCGGAGGAGGGCGAGGAAGGTCTTGTCGCCCCAGTCTAGGTGGCCGGGAACGCCTTCGGGGACGCGCAGGGTGGCGTGGTCGCGGTGGGCGACCGCCCGGCGGTCCGGACCCGCGGGGGTTCGTCCTCCTCCTGGGGGCCCGCGGGCCAGAGTCCTCCGAGGAAGGCGGATACCCGCTGCGTGAGTGCGCCGGCTCCCGCACGCTCCCTCGTCTGGACTGGCCGCCTCGGGTCGCGAGGGTCGGCGACCAAGGCAGGGTCTCGGTCCTCCCCGATTACCAGCCGGACGAGGCGACTGTCTGGGGGCGGGGGCAAGGGGGCCTCCGTAAGTCCCGTCTTCCACGGATCTGGAAACTTGGCCCGCGCCCTGCGCCCCTCCGTGGTGAAGATCAGGCGCATCTCCAGGAACCTCCAAATCTCCTCCGTCTGCTTCTTGGCTACCACCAGGTGCGCGCCTGCCCCCATCCTGCAGAGGTGGCAGCAGATGTAGCGGGAGGTCCCGTTGGCCCCGACGAATAGAGTGTGGGGGGCCACCCGCGCGTGGACACAGGGCACCTCCATGACTCCCATGCCGCGCCGCACGCGGGGTTTGGGCGCGGTCCCTCCCACCTGGCCGCCTGCCGCCTCCACGTGGTGCCGGATGACGGCGATCCGCTTGCGCTGGCTGCCTCCGACGCTCCGCTCCTCGATGACCCTCGGGGGGTCCTCCACGCCCGGCTTCGCCTCCCCTCCCGCACCGGGTGGGTCCCGAGCCGCAGAGGGGGAGCCCTCCTTGGCCCGGACTGGGGAGGGTGGTCCCCTCCCCCGGCTTTCCGAGGAGGCGCCCCGGCTCCGCTCCCGGGGCCGGGGTCGTCCCAGGCTTCCGCTCCTCCCCCGCTCTGGGGAGCCGTCCTTGGGCGGGCGGTCTTCCGGTCGGGCCGGCGCGGGGGGGCCCCTCGGGTGGTGGCGGCGGTACTTGCAGCCCGGCGTCTTGCAGGGGCGGCTCTTCCAGTAGTACCGGCACACCCCTGCGGGGGGCTGGGTGTTGTCGTAGTACTTCCAGCGCTTGCGCGACGTGGACCCACTCCCCTTCCCCAAGCGAGACTTCCCTCGGGACTTCCCTCGGCCGCCCCGTGGCTCGTTCCCCGGCCCGCGCCCCTTTCCTCCTTTCGGGGGTGTGCCGGGCCTCTTCCCCTTCCCGGTGGGACGGTCCTGCCAGGAGCCACTCCCTCTTGTGGCAGGGCTCGCCGCAGCTACCGCAGCTGTCCCTCCTCCCCAGGTGGTTGGGGCCGCTCTGGCACTTCGGGCACCACCACGCCCCCACCTTGGTCAGGAAGTGCGCGGAGCAGTTCTCGCAGCGACTCCGACGGTCCCCCACCTCCTTCCTGCAGCCGAGGCATAGCCAGAGGCCACCCGGCTGGGCAGGAGGGTGGGGCTCACGCGGCTCTGCCGTGGGAGGCTCGGCCCTTCTTGGGCTGCGGGGCCTAGGGGGTGGCGAATCCCGCGTGCGGAGCCCAGGCTCCTCCCCCCCGGTCCGCTTCCTCGGGGGGCTGCCAGCGAGACTTCCTGCCGGACGGAGCCCCTGGGGGTGGACACGCGCCGCACGCCCGCGCGGTCCGGTGCCGGCGGCGGGCGGGATCCAGCCTTGCTCCCCGACCCTCCTCGTCGGCGCGGGGAGCGTTCACGAGGGGCTCGACTCTCCACCCTTCCCCTCCGGTCTGGTCCCTCTGGGTATGCCCGCCGCCCCGCGCTCCGGGGGCGCGTGTGCTCTTCCGGTCGAGGGCCCCGTGAGGCGTGCGCTCCTCGGCCCGGGTCGCGGCGGGGGCTGACGGGCGAGCGACGGCGGGACCCCTCGATCCGCCGTGGGGGCTCGGAGGCCCCAGCGTCCCTCCGGCTCGGGCGGCTGTCCCGGGGGGCCCTGCTCCCTCCCCTCCCGCCGCTCGCGCTTTCCCCTCTGCGAGCCCCGGCGGTGTCCTCACTTCCCCTGCCTCTCCGGCGCTCCGTGGGGGGGCGCGGGGCAAGGCTCTCGGCGGCTGGTTTCCCATCCCCGGCCTGCCTGCTCCGGCCGCTGGCGGCCTTTCCGCGCTCGCCCTCCGACGTTCCGCCCTGTGGGGACCTCTCTTCTTCCTCCTCGCACTTGGCCCCCCCCTTCTCTCCCTTCGGCCTCTCTCCGAAAATGGGGGCCCCCTTTAGTCGTTCTCCCTCCATTCTCGAAGGTGGAGTCCGGCGGAGGGTAGACCGTGCCCTTCTTCATCTCACTCAGGAACGTGTCGACCAACCGCTGGGGGTACTTCCGCCTGTTCTCCCACTCCGCCTCCTCCCACCCCGCTCCGACGCTCCGGGCGTAGCGGTACCATTGGGTGCGGATCCGGGCGCCGTGCTTCTCGTCCTTCCCCAAGAGGTCCAGCATGTCCTGGCCCCGTGCCTCCTCCAGCGCCTGTGTGGCTCGGTTGAACGCGTCCAGGTGCGCCGGGGGCCCCCTCCCCTCGGTCTCCCTCCGCGGTGGCGGGTCTGGTCCCTTCCCCCAGGTCTCGCCGCTTGGGGCGTCCGTGGCGGCTCCGGGCGATGCCCCACCGATGCCGCCTTCCTCCCTCTGGAGTTGAGG